ATATACACACACACACATACACACACACACACCCCACACACACACACATATGTCACATCTTCTGTATCCACTCACTCCTTGATGTATACTTAGGAAGTTTTTATAGCTTGGCTATTGTGAATAAGGTTGCAGTGAACATGGGGGTACAGATATCTCTTCAAGACAGTGATTTCATCTCCTTCAGATATAGAACCCAAAGTGAGATTGCTGGGTCATATGGTAGTTCTATTTTTAATTTTTTGAGGAATCTCCATACTGTTCTCCATAGTGGCTGCACCAATTTACATTCCCACCCACAATGCATGAGGCTTCCCTTTTCTCCACACCCTCTGCATCATGTTATCTCTTGTTTTTGAAAACAGCCATTCTAACAGGTGTAAGGTCATATCTCATTGTGGTTTTGATTTGCATTTCCTTGAAGACTAATGATATTAAGTACCTTTTCACATACTTCTTGGCCATTTGTATGTCTTCCTTGGAAAATTATGCAAGTCCTCTGCCTGGTTTTAAATCAAATTTTGTGGGGGTTTTTGGTTTGTTTTTTGTTATTGAGTTGTATGAGTTCCTTGTATATTTTAAATGTTAACCCCTTATCAGATATATCGTTAGGAAATATTTTATCCTATTATGTACATTGTCTTTTTTTTTGTTGTTGATTGTTTCCTTAGCTGTACAGAAGCTTTTTAGTTTGATGTAGTCCTGTTCATTGATTTCTGCTTTTGTTGCTTGTGCTTTGGGTGTCATATCCAAAATTCATTGCCAAGATCAATGTCAAGGACATTTTCCCTACGTTTTCTTCTAGGAATGTTATTGTTTCAGGTCTTACATTTAAGTCCTTAATCCATCTTGAGTTAATTTTTGTGAGTGGTATAATATTGGGGTCTCATTTCATTCTTTAACATGTGGATATTCAGTTTTCCAGTAACATTTATTAAAGAGATTGTCATTTCTCCACTGAGTATTCTTAGTTCCCATGTCAATACTAATTGACTGTATATGCATGAGTTTATTTCTTAGCTCTTGATTCTGTTCCATTGGTCTATTTGTCTATTTTTTATGCTAGTACCATACCGTTTGGATTCCTTTAGCTTTACAGTATAGTTTGAAATCAAGTAGTATGACGCTTGCAGGTTTGTTCTTCTTTCTTAGGATTGCTTTGGATATATGGGGTCTTCTGTGATTCTGTACAAATTTTAGGAAAATTTTTTCTGTTTTCATGAACAGTGACATTGTAATTTTGATAGGTATTGCATTGAATCTATAGATGACTTTGGGTAATATGGACATTTTAACAATATTAACTCAATCCGTGAACACAGGATATCTTTCCATTTATTGTTGTCTTCTTCAATTATTTAAATCAATGTTTTATAGTTTTCTGTGTATAGAAAATTCTCTTTCTTGGTTAAATTTATTTCTAAGTATTTTATTGTTTTTGATCATATTGTAAATAATATCTTTTCCTTTGTTTGTTTTTCAGATAGCTCATTTTTATTGTATGGAAATGCAACTACTTGTTTAATTTATTTTTTAACATCTTTATTGGAGTATAATTGCTTTACATTGTTGGATTAGTTGCTGCTGTATAATAAAATGAATCAGCTATACGTATACATATTTCCCCATATCCCTTCCCTCTTGCATCTTTCCCTCCCACCTTCCTTATCCCACCCCTCTAGGTGGTCACAAAGCACCGAGCTGATCTCCCTGTGCTATGCGGCTGCTTCCCACTAGCTATCTATTTTACGTTTGGTAGTGTATATATGTCAACGCCACTCTCTCATTTCATCTCAGCTTACCCTTCCCGACCCCCAAGGTCCTCAAGTCCATTCTCTATGTCTGCGTCTTTATTCCTGTCCTGCCCCTAAGTTCTTCAGAACCTTTTTCTTTTAGATTCCATATATATGTGATAGTATACAGTATTTGTGTTTCTCTTTCTGACTTACTTCACTCTGTATGACAGACTCTAGGTCCATCCACCTCACTACAAATAACTCTATTTCATTTCTTTTTATGGCTGAGTAATATTCCATTGTATATATGTGCCACATTTTCTTTATCCATTCATCTGTCGATGGACACTTAGGTTGCTTCCATGTCCTGGCTATTGTAAATAGTGCTGCGGTGAACATTGTGGTACACAACTCTTTTTGAATTATGGTTTTCTCAGGGTATATGCCCAGTAGTGGATTGCTGGGTCATACGGTAGTTGTATTTTTAGTTTTTTAAGGAACCTCCATACTGTTCTCCATAGTGGCTGTATCAATTTACATTCCCACCAACAGTGCAAGAGCGTTCCCTTTTCTCCACACCCTCTCCAGCATTTATTGTTTCTAGATTTTTTGATCATGGCCGTTCTGACTTGTGTGAGGTGATACCTCACTGCAATTTTTTTTTTTTTTTTTTTTTTTTTTTTTTTTTTTTTTTTTTTGTGGTTCTTTTTTTTTTCTCTGTTGTGGCCTCTCCCGTTGTGGAGCACAGGCTCCGGACGTGCAGGCTCAGCGGCCATGGCTCACGGGCCTAGCTGCTCCACGGCATGTAGGATCTTCCTGGACCGGGGCACAAACCCGCGTCCCCTGCATCGGCAGGTGGACTCTCAACCACTGCGCCACCAGGGAAGCCCATCACTGTAGTTTTGATTTGCATTTCTCTAATGATTAGTGATGTTGAGCATCCTTTCATGTGTTTGTTGGCAATCTGTATATTTTCTTTGGAGAAATGTCTATTCAGGTCTTCTGCCCATTTTTGGATTGTGTTGTTTGTTTTTTGATATTGAGCTGCTTGTATATTTTGGAGATTAATCCTTTGTCAGTTGTTTTACTTGCAAATATTTTCTCCCATTCTGAAGGTTGTTACTTCTTCTTGTTTGTGGCTTCCTTTGCCATGCAAAAGCTTTTAAGTTTCATTAGGTCCCATTTGTTTATTTTTGTTTTTATTTCTATTTCTCTAGGAGGTGGGTCAAAAAGGATCTTGCTGTGATTTTTGTCATAGAGTGTTCTGCCTATGTTTTCCACTAAGAGTTTCATAGTGTCTGGCCTTACCTTTAGGTCTTTACTCCATTTTGAAGTTATTTTTGTGTATAGTGTTAGAGAGTGTTCGAATTTCATTCTTCTACCTGTGGCTGTCCAGTTTTCCCAGCACCACTTATTGAAAAGGCAGTCTTCTCCATTGTATATTCTTGCCTCCTTTATGAAAGATAAGGTATGTGTGGGTTAATCTCTGGGCTTTCTATCCTATTCCATTGATCTATATTTCTGTTTTTGTGCCAGTACCATACTGTCTTGATTACTGAAACTTTGTAGTATAGTCTGAAGTCAGGGAGCCTGATTCCTCCTGCTCCATTTTTCTTTCTCAAGATTGCTTTGGCTATTCGGTGTCTTTTGTGTTTCTATACAAATTGTGAGATTTTTTTGTTGTAGTTCTGTGAAAAATGCCATTGGTACTTTGATAAGGATTACATTGAATCTGTAGATGGAAATGCAACTAATTTTTGTACGTTGATTTTGTATCCTGAACTTTTACTGAATCTGTTTATTAGGTCTAACAGTTTGTTTTGTTTTATTTTTGTGGAATCTTTAGGATTTTTTATACACAAGATCATATCATCAGCAAACAGGCAATTTTACTACTTCCTTTCTGATTTGGATGCCTTTTGTTTCTTTTTCTTGCTTAATTGCTCTGGCTAGGACTTCTTATATCATGTTGAATAGGAGTGGTGAAAATAGACACCCTTGTCTTTCTTCTGATCTTTGAAGGAGAGCTTCCAACCTTTCACAGTTGCATATGTTGTTGTCTGTGGGTTTATCTTATATGGCCTTTATTATGTTGAGGTATTGTCCCTCTATACCCAATTTGTTTAGAACTTTTGTCATGATTGGAGGTTGAATTTGTCAAATACTTTTCTGCAATTATTGAAATGACCTATGATATTTATCTTTCATTCTATTAATGTGGCATATCACATTTATTGATTTGTATATGTTGAACTATTCTTGAATCCAGGGGTAAATTCCATTTGATTATAGTATATGACTCTTTTAATGTGCTATTAAATTTGGTTTGCTTGTATTTTGTTGAAAATTTTGCATTCATCAGGGATATTACCCTATAGTTTTCTTATAATATCCTTAACTGGCTTTAGTATTAGGGTAATTCTGGCCTCATAAAATGATTTTAAGAATATCCCTCCTCTTCATTTTTGGGGAAGATTTTGAGAAGAATTGGTATTAATTCTTAATATGTTTGGTACAATTCACCGGTGAAAATATCTGGTCCTGGGCTTTTCTTTGTTGGGAAATTTTTGGTTACTGATTCAATCTGCTTGCTTGTTATTGTTCTGTCCAGATTTCTAATCCTTCATGATTCATACTTGGGAGGTAGTGTTTTTCTAGGAATTTATCCATTTCTTCTAAGTTGTCCAATTTTTTGGCATATAATTGCACATAATAGTCTCATCATTTTTAAAAATATTTCTGTGGTATCAGTTGTAATGTCTTTTATTTCTGAATTTATTTATTTGAGTTCTTGTCTCTCTCTCTCTCTCTCTCTCTCTTTGTAAGTCTAGCTAGTTTTGTCAGTTTGACTTAAACCTATTTGTTTAATTTTGCCTGATATAAGTATAGCTACCCTTGGTTTCTTATGGTTTTCTTTAATGTGGAATCTTTTTTCATCCCTCACTTTGAGCCTCAGAATTTAGAAAGGTTGTATAATACAGGATCAATGTACAGAAACCAAGTTTATTTCTGTACACTAATAATGAATGGGAAAATTCTATTCTAAAAAGTCTCATTTACAGTAGCATCAAAATAAACATGAAATATTTAGATATGGATTTTAAAAAACATGTAGTTTTACATACATATGCTTATTCACTTGAAACTAGAAAACATTGCTGAGAGAAATTAAAGAAAACTTGAATAAAAGAGAAGAGATGTACCATACACATGAATTGGAAGACAGTACACTTAAGATGTCAATACTCAATACTTCCCAAATTTTACATACATATATATGTATAGGTTCACCAAAATTCCAATCAAAATCTCTGCATGATTTTTTATTGAAATTGATAAGCTGATTTAGAATAGCCATATACATGTAATCAGCTGATTTTTAACAAGGGTGCCACGAAAATTAAGTGAGGGGAAAAGATTGCCTTTTCAGTGCATAGTACTAAAAATCTGGATATCAATATGGATAAAAATCCATCCTTACCTCGTATCTTGCACAAAACTCAACTCAATGAACCACAGATCTAAATGTAAAGATGAAAACTAAAAAATTTCTAGAAAAAAGTTGGAGGAAATTTTTATGACCCTGTGGGTAGGTAAATAGTCCTTAGATCTGACACATAAAGTGTAAACCAAAAGAAAAAAACTAATAAATTGAATTTGATCAAAATTGTAATATTTTACTCTTTAGAAGTCTAAGAATATAGCAAGGCAAGCCACAGAATGGAGGAAAATATTCTTAGTGCATGTATCTGACAAATGATTTATATTCATAATTTATAAACCAGTCTTACAATTTAATAGTAAGTGGTCAAATAACATAATTTTTGATGGCCCAGTGTTTAAAAACTCCTTCACAAGAGAAGATTTATGAAATGTCAATAATCAAATGAGGAGATTCTCAGCATCAAACAAGCCGTCAAGCGAATGCAAATTAAAACAGCAAAGAGTACAACTTCCCACCTTCTCGAAAGGATAAAATTTAAAAGACCAAAAAAGAAAGTGTTAATAGGATGTGAGAAAAGTGGAACTCTCGTATATTGCTGTTAGGAGTGTAAAATTATACAATCACCTCGGAAAATAATTTTGTAGTTTCTTATAAAAGTAAATATACACGTAATATATGACCTATCAATCCCTAGGTATCTACCTAAGGTAAATGAAAATTGTCCACACAAAGACTTGCACTCAAATGTTCATAGCAGTTTCATTCATAATAGCCCCAAACTGGTTATAATTCCAATGTCCATCAAAAAGTGCATGGATAAAAAATTTGTATTATAGCTGTAAGTTGGAATTCTATTGAGTACTGAAATACTGATACACAAAACAGAATGAATGAATCCTAAAGCATCATGCTGAGCCAGAGAAGCTAGACACAAAGAAGAACATATTGGATTTCAATCCCATGACGTTCTAGAAATGGCAGAACCAAGCTACAGTGAGAGGAAAGCAGAGTGAGATGCCTGGCATCAGAGTCGGAGGGGGGGAAGTAGAGGGAGGGTTGGTGAAATACACTGGAAAGGGACCTGAGCTAATTTGGAGAGGTTTGGGAAATGTTCTAAAGCCTGATTTTGGTGGTACTTATATGGGTGTATATAATTGTCAAAAGTCGTTGAACTGTGCACTTTTAAACGGTTGCATTTTATCATATGTAAAATATACCTTAATAAAGTTGACAGGAGTGAGTTTACAGATGGTTTTAAATTTCTCTTTTTGGCCTTTCTGTATTTTCTAAATTCTCTCTCTCTGAATTCATGTATTCAAATTTTCATCAAAATAAACTAATTAAAATATTAGTTTTATCCACTTTTATTGCCCTTGCAGTAGTATGTAAGTACTCTTTACAAGCAACCTAGTCAACTCTACCAAATACAATCAGGATCTACAAAGACTACAGTCCTAAATCTTCCTGACTGTATATATACATATGTAGGATTCCTTTTACCAAAGACACTGGATTCATCATCAAAAACAAAACAGACAAATGAACAAAAAACAGCAAGGGATGATCAGCCTGTGCATTGGAATTAAGATTTACAATTTTCTTTATCAGTCTTGCTGGAGCTGAACTGTACAGCCCTCTCGTCTTGTTATATAAGAGCATGAGCCATAGGAGGGGGCCAGGCAAGCCCGCCAGAATGACAGCACCTGAGCTGTGGTGAAGCCAAAGCCAGAGCAGAAGCAAAAATCAAGATTACGTGAATTTTAACAAGTTAAACGTAGTGTGCAATGAAACAGAGATTTAAAAAAGATCAGAAAAAGTCTCAGAAATGAAAGAGTCGATCCTTCCAGATACCCAGGAAAGCTAATTTTACAATTGAGCCTTTGGCAGCTAAAGCTAACAAAGAAATTATGCAGTATTACTTAATTATCCTTTTCCACTGAAAGAAAGCATGACAATTTTCTGATAGAAAATGTGTTTCCGGAGCAGAAATCGAGACAGACTTTATTATGGGGACAGTGAACTTTTGTAATGAGGTAAATGGTATCTTGAAGAGAGTTTTTTGAAAAAGTCAGAAACTCTGCTCATAGAAACTGTCCTTGTGCCCAAGAGGGCAGAGGAGGTGACGCTAAGATGGAGACCTGATAAAAAATGGTCAGTTTGGGACACAAGGTTAAGGCATCGCTTTCTGATCATCTAACTTAATACAGAGGTAGTAGCACTAGAAGGGAATAAAGGGAAAAAATAGTTTATATGCCTATTAAACTGTCTTCCTCATTTCAGATGTATTAGGAGAGCCTCTGTCTGATGCTGAAACTGACAATTTATGATTGCATCCTTTAACAAGTGCCTGGAGTGCAAAGCATCCTATGTTGCTGGGATGGCCATATGCTTCCCGTAACAGACGGGGAGGAAGATGTCATTCGGTTGTGAAAGGTGAAGAGCCAGACAGAAGGCTATCTCGCTTTAGAACAGGTGGGGACAGCAGGGTTTCTTTCAGGTAGAGCCAGCGTTTTCTTCAGGGAAGAGCTTTCTGTCTTCTAAAGTATTTAAGCATGGGCTTGGTTAAGACCTCAAAGTTTTACACAACCTGGAAAAAAATGTCTTTAGCTTGAAAATATTTAAGAGAAGTCTTATAGCTGACCTCGTTGCTCATCAAAGTGACTTGAGCATTAACAATGTGGCATGTCTAGCTTTTGGACAGCCTGCATCTTGATGTGTTTGCCAACGTGAGCACGCTATAAGGTGAGCTGAAAGCTTCACCTGTGCCTTGGGGTTAGGGATGTTTGAACATATTTGTGCTCATGAATGCCTTGCAAATGCAATGTCTGCAATTTTGGTAAAAGTGATGCTGAGACTCCCAGGTTTGGATGCTTCTTGAGATTATTCATTATTCAAGTCAAACAGAGACTCGAGGAAGGCACACTTTAGTTCAGCATAATTTAATGTCCCAGATGATTTCTGAGCGCCCGCAAGAAACCAAGGAGATCAAGAAACAGCAATGGGCACTGGGAATTTTGAAAAAATAAGTAAAGCACTCTTAAAGAGCTCAATAAGTACAAAGATGCGATTGATCTTTTAGATTTATCATGTTAGTTAAATATGAAAGGAGAATCCCAAACTGTGTTAAGGTCCAGCTCTAATTGGTAACATTTAAATTAGAGATTGCACCTGCAGGAGACTGTTGCATCATAAGTGCTGGCTACCAAGAGAAGTTAGATACAGGTCTGGAGAGGCATACACAGAGGTCCATCCAGTCTGTTGGCCATAGACTATTCCTGTCCATTGAGTTTTGTCATGTGCTTTTCTTTTTAAAGTGATGGAAGGGCACAAAGAGAATTATATAAACTCTGTGTTTCTGTAAACATCCACGCATATGTCATTCTGTGAGCAATAATGTTACTAAATCTGCACTCACTATCGTCTTTGAGAGCTAAAACTAAACCTCTAATTAACTACAGAAACTACACTCGTTAAGGTAGAGAGATAATTTTTCAAAGGTCCTAAGCTGAAATTGCTGCTCTCAACCAATTCTAATTTCCAGTAATCTCTTGATTCTATTAGAGTTTTACTTAGAGTCCCCCTGGCCCCAGGAGAAAGCCATACTTTATTACAATATAATATTTTTTAGTTAATTGCTCAATTCTGTTAATATTTTAATAATTGTGTCTATATGCAA